TGAATGCTGATCTAACTCAACAGTGGCTCAGTGAGCATTTTATTTACAAGATAAATTTAAAAAACAGGTTTTTTTGGATGTCCTTGCCTTGCACACTGTAAGATGTTCACCTTTCAGTGTGCTCCTCACACATAGAAGTCTCACACTCAAAGAAAATGTTTTCAACATACTGCCAAGCGTTTTTTGCAACAGTGTGACCACATAAGGCCTTGTTTCACCTCAGTTCAATGCTCGTTTCAGCCCTTGGGCAGCGAGGTGAGATCCTAGTCTTGAGACCCCCAAAGAGCCTTCCATCTGAGCCTCAGTCCTTCAGAGGACATTTTTCCAATCAAAATCTTTGTTCTTCTTTGCACCTCTTTTCAGTGAAAATGTTTCCTTTACTACCAAGGCAATCGAACAAAAACTAAGCTTCTCATGAAATACGGAGTTTTGCTAGCTTCTTCTTAAGAATTCAAAGAATTTTAAGAATTTAAAATATTTTAAGAATTTAAAATGCTATGCCTTTGTAATTGTTCATTTCCAATAAACAGAAAATGATGTAACACATCTTTGCTATGGGCCCTAGCTGAGCAAAACAGTTCGTTGAATGTACAATTAGAAAACACCAGGAATTATTCAAAAGGTACTTTCATGTTTTATTGATCAGTGGCTTAAACCTAAACCCAACAACTATTTGAGAACAACTATTTGTGGTGACGTTTTCTTATGCTGCCTTTGGGTTGACTCGTGATATGAGTCATGATAACTATGTCTAGGCTAAAAGAAAAAAAAAGGTTGAACTTGAAAGGTGAAAATACTAAATAACACAGCAAATTCAAGGTGATTTGAGTGTTGCTTGCCTTAGAAGGACCAAGATAGGATAAATATTTATCTTAACAGTTGACCAACGCAACCACAGCATAGAGTAGGTGGAGATCATTTTAAGATGCAGTTTTAATAGGTACTACTGAGACTTGCCAGCAATCAAAATTGCTTTGGGGTGAGAAGCGGGTTGGTCTCCAAAGCAATAGATTGTCTGCCACTGTTTTCGGAAAGCCCAGCATTCTGGCTGTGAAGGAAGAAAGTGATAACCTTGCCATATCTCAGGCCTGCTCTGCAGTGGCACTTGCTTGATGGTACCCAGGGCAGTGCTACATGGAGCCACATGGAGGCTGCCCAGTCCCAGAGGTGGATGATGGTCAGTTCTGTCCTGCCCATGCTTGCTGACTTCATGCAGGTGAGGACTACTTGCTTAATGCCACGGTTTGCTGAGCTTGGCACAGCTGAACTGCTCAAGTGAGTGTTGTATGTGTGAACTAGGGGTGACATATATGGTGACATTCATTTTAAGTATGTGCATTAAGCTAAAGAGGCTGAATACACCAGGGCTCTGAATACACCAGGGCTCATCCTGAATAATCAGAGAGGAATAACTAACTGTTTAACTTCTTGTTGCTGCGAAAGAAATATCAGGTAGGAATACTGGGTTGAACCTCCTATTGGTTATTTGTATTTCCTTCAGGAAAATGAGTTTCCTAGTATTTAATTAGCAGGCCACTAGATCATTCAGTAATTGTTTCATTCAAAAACCACCAAGAAGTCCAGCACCTGATAGATTCCAAGTGATGAAATCTGGGAATTTGAGGAACTAGAAGTCATTCTACAACAATCATTATGAAAAGCACAGCCTTCTGCCATGCTCTTTTTGTTCTCCAGTGATTGAATTATCAGTTCCTAAGTGAAGTCATGTTTTCAACTTACAGCTAATTCTTCTTGGTTTTATCAGTTACTTTTGAAGAAAATATGGTTGAAAATTACAAAGTGCATTATCTACTTAATGGCTGATTTTTTAAATCACCCTTCAAAACCCAAGGAGGATGATCATCAGGAAGATGGCAAAGAGATGACTTTTTGTTGACTTCTTGGGCATAAAAAAAAAAGCCCAGATGATCCCAAGTGGAGGGACTGTGTGATATTAGGAGCAGATCTCATTAGGGATGTCCTAGCATAGAGGAGAGTCCCCAGAGCACCCTTCAGACAGCCAGGATGCAGAGGACCAGCCACTTCCAGACAAGGTCTGCTGACTTTTTGTTAGTAGGAAACATCAGCTAACAGATAGAATCATAGAATAACCCAGGTTGGGAAAGACCTAAAAGATCATCAAGTTTAACCACAACTTAACAATACTACCCCAACTCTAATAACCCACAACTAAATCCCACAGTTTCCTTTCAATAAGGAGGTGGTGACTTAGGACAATAGCCAGTAAGTCTGTTATACTTTTGTTTCTGAGTGAATGGAAGTAGAGAAGGGAAAGATGGATTTTTCATCATCTCTCTTTGTTCTGCTGTACTTCTGTTTAATCAGTTCACTGCCTCTTGGCAACATCTGCCATCACATTCTGCTTTGCTGCCATCCTGCAGAAAACCTTATGTCACAGACGATGGTCCATTTTTCAGTCATTGTCAGAAGAAAATGTCCTGCAGTTGCTTGGAATGGGCAATCTTTATCTAGAATTTCTACAGTCCCATTTATTACACCACTGATTTGATCTTCATCTTTTCCATCATCATCCAGCATTCTGGAAACTGCCTGTCCTTTGTACAATCTGGACTTGGTCCAATGCTTATTAATCTATCGAGATGGAGAACCAAAGCAGGTAGCAAAAGGTGAGTTAGCATTTTTCTCCTTCATCATCCCCACTTCTAGATTGCATACTTCCTCACTTCTGTTTTCACTGTCAATTTCAGGATAGGGTGAACCAGATTTTAAGCTAGTTTTCATAAATATGCATGAAGGAAGTGTTTTGTGCAACTACCACGGTTCAGACATTCAGTTTAAAACAGCAGATGCCTTGCTTATAGCTTCAGCTTCCGAAGAGATGCAAACTCAGCAGCGTATGCTGTGACATCATTCTGATGAAGCTAACAAAAAGGTGAGTGTATTGAGGTTGATAAAAAAGCCAATATTTCTACATTCTATAAAGATTAAGCTGTAACAGAGGCTTCGATCTTTGACTTCTGCAGCTAGTTCATTCCAAACGATAATCTTCGTATCAACAAAAACATAAAGCACAGCATTCATGAGGGAGAGTCCTCGGAATTACGGCAAGGTCTGTACCAAATTTAAAAATGTTTTTATTCTCATGAGCACATATACTCTTATGATTTTAATTTGCCAGCTTCTCTTTCAATTGCTTGCTTTAGAATGAGCTTCAAAAGATTCATAACCAACAGAAAGGAGGAATTTTACACAGTTTTAGCAGAAGTTCATACATTGGCCTTAGTCTCCCTAGAAACACTTAAGCACCCAAAAAGATTATACCTAAACTGATTTCAGTGCCAAATATCTTCCATGCACAACTCCTATGAGGGGATTTGATTCGTTCTGTTTATAATCAGGTGGCATCCTCCATACAGCAATGATTCCAGCATTTTTGTATCTTGGCAGCTCTATGAAAAAATTAATAACTAAGAACATGAACAAATCATTTGGCAAGCCTGAACTAGCTTTTAGTGAAGATGAATTGCAGTAGCTTCCAACCTGGTGCAGGCATTAACCTCAATACTGGAGAAACTCAGGGGCTGGCAGTGGAAATAGAAAAACTAAAGTAAGGAATTTCATTAAAAGACCTTAAGATTTCTATTCACTTCTACTAAAGCAATGAAATCTCAGGACACTACTGTCAATGGACAGAAATTAACCACCCAGCTAAATGCAGATGGATATATTCATTCCACCCACAGTTTGCTAACTCTGAGAAGCTGATTTCTACGTTAATGCTTAAGTCCTGGATGTGACCACACCTATTCCCTGGTGTAGCCTTCCTCTTCAAAAGTGATACAACTTCAAACCCTTACATGTAACTCCACATTTCATACCAAGAATCCCAATACATGGGTCCCACCTCCCTTAGACTTGTACCAGGTAAATCTCACACTAAGTAGCAGAAATAATGGAGTGTACTAACTCCAAGATTCTTGTTAGGCAGTTGCCATTCTCAGATTCCCAACAGATTTTCATTTTCTCTGTGACTGCTCTCGCCACAAAATACTTACAGAACCGTCCTGCATCTTTTTTCACTTGTAGGGCAAAAACCTTCTTGGCCAGTGTGCCTGTGTGGAGTGCCAAGTCAGCCAACTAAAACAGGTTTCTGTTGAGCTCCCATTGTAGACTTGCTTTCTCAAAAGAGGAACTTATTTTTGTTTCTCTCCTTTCCTAAGCTACTAGTTTTTTGGAAGTTATAGAAAATTCTTTATCCCCAAAGCCTTTACTTCCCTATCAAATGTGGTTGCCATTGTAAGATGCAGTTATATTCTCTATAAGTAGATATGAACAGAGCCCAAACTACCAATTTTTCCAACATTAGCCACACTTATCACAAACAACTTAGTTTCTTCAATCCCCATCGTTTTTTGAAAACCATCTTCTTGCAAACCTCAGGATTGCAAACATCAAAAGGGACACACAAAGACAAGATTCAGTCAGCTTCAGCCTTATGGAGAATACAATGCTCCTAGGTACATGGGGCACTAACTGAACACAAGCAAGCCAGTTGTTATGAAATACTGCATTGAGGTTTCCTATGAAAATACTCATTTTTTCTCTTCTTTTACTGAGATCTTTTCCCGAGGACATGAGAGAAGGGATTTCCAGGGTGTCGGAGAGTCGCCAGAGAAGTTCAGAACTGAATTCTCAAGTGCTGGTACAAATGACAAAAATAACAAGCACAGAGGCAGTTCTCCCCTACTCTCCTAATTTCCCCACACCCCTGGGATATGGTGGCATCCTTCTGAAGTGTCATCTTAACACACAATATTTTGACTGCCGTTCTCACAGATAGCATCTTCTTTTAAGAACTAAAAAGTGCAAAACTTCATACATCTCATAAAACCCATACAGGCACCTGTTTTCTACAAAAGGCAGCTCAGTAAAAATTTGTCCTAATGAGCAGTAAAGAAAATACTTCCTTACTGAGTATCCATATCGTAGATAAAACATAATCCAAGTGAATGAATTATCAGTGATGGTCTATTGATGTGTTGATTGTACTTCAAAAAAAGCATATGGACAGAGATAAAATGGGTTACAGAAGGACATTCAGATTTTATCAGAACAATCTCTAAAACAGCATTTAATCCAAATCTCCCCTTTGCAATTTAGAGCTACACTGTAATCCTAATGAACAATGCCCAAATGTATATTTGGAATACCCATATTTAGGAAGAAGATTTTATTCCAAAACACATTTTTAAAAAGCAAAATAAGGCTTTTTTTCAATGTCCTACATAGATAGTCGAATTATTCATATTTAAAGAAGAGCCAGGGGTGTTGCTTTTTTTTTTTTTTAATTATATCTATATAACTTGCAGCTTGTAGTCTACAAAGAGAGCGGTTGCCAACATATGATAGGACACCTCCCCCAAAATACTAGCACTTTGGAGCTAAAACAGGTAACACAGGAAATTGTTGTGGAAACCTGACGACAGTTTTGTTGTTTCAACATTTTGACTAGAATTTCAGCTACTAACGATAGAAGTAGAAGAAAGAGAACATGATTTTGGATTATAAAGTTAACAGTGATAGCATCTTGCAGCTGAAATTGCACTCTGGACCAAGTAGGTATTTTCTTCCTGTCCTACAGTGTTAGAACAAAGCAAACAAAAAGATTTCTCATTTACATGGCAATAGGATCATCCGCTGTCCAAGTAATATCCAAAAATAAAACAGTCCTTTAGGCACTGCACTGACCGGAGCAGCCGCAGTGCAATTTGCACGCTTATATAATTCTCTGATTGCAAAGAGAAAGGCTGCATTACGTAAGTGCCTGCCTTTTCTGGTGGTTTTTTTTTGTTTGTTTGTTTGCTTTGTTTCATTTTTTTCTCGCTGGCTATATTGTTTTTCAGTGCTCCCAAAGGCTGTTTTACTTTTCAGGCTCTCTTTAACCAGAGACAATCTTGCAACAGAAGTACAAATCTTTAAGGCTAATGTTACAATCCGAAAAGAGGAGCTAGTAGCACAAAGAGAAAGGGATTTTCAAAGTTTCAACTGATTTTAAATGACACTTACATTCATTTCTGCAGTTTTTCTGTTAGAAGCACATGAAGAATCTTATCTTGCATTTCACTGAACACCTCAAATCCCCTTGATAGTCACTGAACATCTGGAGTCCAAATGAACACGGAACTAATCCCAAAGGCAAAATAGCACAACAAGTAAGGAGCAATCCCTGCTACCAAAGTCACTATGGAAATCTTGCAGCTGGTCAGTTAAAACCTGGTTGCACTTCACTTTTGTTTTTGTACCACAACTTTTATCTTCAAGCCAATTTACCTTAACCAGCTGTTGCCCATAAGGTAGCATTAATATGGATATAAGTGCAATGACCAAACTATCCTGACAAAACCTACAACAGGTAGGTTCATCCATATTCAGTAGCAGGGCATTCCCAATACATTCTTCTACCAGATTCTCAGCACCCTTCACATTCACAAGTCTTAGGAGTTGATGGTACTCAGCTCCTCAGGCTTTCACACCTTCCACCTTTCTTCCATTGGAAAACAAAAAAATGGAAAAAAAGAAACAAAGAGAGTTAACAATACACACACTTTCCTCTACACCCCTTACCACTACACACAAGCACACTCACAAGGGAAGGAAAAACAAAACAAAAAAAGAGTTATATGAGGCGCCAATCTGGAATGAAATGGATCTTTGAACAGACAGTCATATTTGGCACTGTCAGCAAAAGCTTGTGGGTGGCCCCATTTCTCTCTGAGCCTTAATGCCCTTCTTACATCGGTCATTTAAAAACGTCACCCAGAAAGTTCATTTGAGTTGCTTCTGACATTATTTTCACATTACTGCTGAATGGACTTGATGGAGAGGTTTGTTTCCCCCACCGCAGTTCCATAGAACATACATTAAGGACATATTCCATTTGGCTTTCAAGCAGCATTTTTACGGTCCATGCAGATCCATGATTATTTTCCCTTTAAAAAGAATCAACAGAAGATCAGAACTCTCTGTAGGAGAGCAAGGAAATTAAAAACTAGTGGATCTCCCAAACCGACTGCTACGATCCTTAGGCAGAAGACTGGGTTAAAGGGTCCTCACACTGTTCTAGCTGCATTCTCAGTACACCACTTTTATGAAGGAACCAGAGCTGTAGAAATTCCTCCGGCATGGCATGGAATCCGGAATCGGGCAAGACATTGTCATAGTAATGGTGGCTAATAAACTTCCCATGCAGGTCCACTGAGAACGGCCAGAAGCCATAAATTGTTACTTCTTCACAGAGACCAAGGGCAGCACTGACTAGGAAAAGTCCCGTGGAAAGTCGTTTGGCATGGATACCTTTGCTCTTCCAGAACTTGCCAATGTCACGCAGGAAATTGGGGTTGGCAAAAAGCACCGCCTGCTTGGCACCAAAGTCCTTCAGGGTGTAATAGACGCGCAGGGAGGGGCCCGTCCCTGTCTTCATTGAGAAGGCCGGCATATAGATGTAACTGTGATTATACACCTTCACGCTGTCCACAAATGCTTTTCGAGACCAAAGCAGATTCTGGAATCTGTAAAATGAGAGAGAAAAGTCTGTTGATCATACAAACATTTTTCTACTCATTTCAAAAGCCACCTACAAGCTGTTACTCACACACGGATTTGCAACTGATTTGCACACCTTTCCAGAGCCTAGAGAAATTCCTGATGAATTTCTGAGTGTCTCTTCTAAAACAGTGAACCTGAACAGACAGTTAAAAACCATCTGGTATCCTGCTAGCTCCAAAGCATAAAATGTTTCTGATTTCATCTCCTCACAAACCCTTCATGAACACTAATAATTTTCCCAAAAATTGATCACTTTAGTGACATTTTTCTTTACATTTTCAGGCATAGAAATCTTTAAATTAGATTTTGAAGTCTGTGTTGTTGTTCTTATTTCCTAAAGGTGTACTAAAAAAGAATCCAAGTTACATGTTGAACAAGCAATACTAAGCAATAATCAAATAGAAATTCTGGCCTTATAAAAATTTTAAGACTTGTAAGATTTGCTTTTATTATGTCCGCATAGAGATTTATATTTCCATTAGATTATGATACCATAGCCATTTATTCTCAACTTGAGAAAAATCTCAGAGAATTCTTTAGGATAAGTGGCACCACAAAAATGTAGCAGCAGGCACCAAATGACACTCAGGGATGATGTTTAAGAAGATAGGAGTTATACAGGGAGTAGGTTTAAAAGCAGTTAATATTTGTAATGTGCAAGTTAGAAGAGAGACTAGTTGGGGAAGGCAATGTATACATCCACGTTACTTCTCTGCTTTTACGGTTTCATTTAACTCTTGCTACAAAATCTACATCAGGTTACAACTTCTTTAAGTAGCCAACAGCTGATTCTACATTATTCTTGATTAACTGATATCTACATCATTCTTGATTTTAGACTTGAATACTACTTCAAAAACAGTACTTTAGCAAGAATATAACCTCTCCTTCCCATGTACTTTTGGCATGCCAAGATGAATGAGACATCTGGCAGGAAGCTGTAGGCAGTTCACACATACCAGCACCCTCAGTGATGTTTAACACTACACAAAGCACACAGCAGAAAAACAATAAAGTTTCCTGAATATGCTCCATTGGGTGCAAGTGACAGAGATGTCAGCCAGAGTGACTAGTAAAATCCAATACTTAAAAAACAAACTTGTTAAGAAGCAGGAGAACTTATTGTTCTGGATTGTGGCCTGTACGAGGTGATACTTCTGAGTATCACCTGAGCATGAGAAAATCACTGTGATTCACCTTTGATTATCTGCTCCCTTTCCAGAGTCGCTGCAGCCTTCAGAGCACCAGTAGCAAGTAGGCAAGTAGGCAAGGAGAATCCATGTTACTTCTGCACAAGCCTTACCGGCGCCTCCTCCTTAGCAGCTGGGATGTTCTCCCAAACATGATCCCTAATTTTTTTCTCAGCTCTTGAATGACTTTCTCATCTTGTTACTGCCTCCTCTTTCTCAGTTTCTTGTGGCTGAGACATGTGTATGTATCACAACTGATTTCATAATCACACAGCAGAGTCAGAACAAGAAAACTGAGACACTGGCAGTGGACATTTTCCTTCCTTTGGCACAGGTAGAGAGATAGGTATAAGAGCACCTTTTTTATACGCTCTGAGTTCATTTGATATGAAAACCCCTTTGGTAAAAATCACACACACAGCAAGATATATGGGTTTGAATAGGATGTCAGAAAACCTCAAGAAGCATCAGCTAAAATTTCATCTGATACAACTACCAACAAAAAATCAAACTTCAGCAACATAGAAGTATCTCATGAACACGTCAGATTCTTTGGAGTCTTTCTTCTGGTAGAAGAAAATGTTAGTACTAATTTAAAAGACTTTGCTGACACTTTCAAAATTCAATATTTGGTCTGCTGATTTGCCACAAGTTTCTTTCAACATGTCCTGGTGGGATTAAAGTAAAGCTGTTCCAAAGCAAAACCCCTGAGATCTGCATGGTTCTTCATCACTGTTTGACTGTGCAGATCTGGTCTTTCTGTGTAAGTAATGGAGACAAAGCCCGTGTCATCAAAGCAAGAAATTTATCCAACTTGAACATATGAAGCAAAACAATAATTTCATAACATTGCATTTGGCATTCTTTTCTGTAGAAAGAACAGACACAGTTGGATGTAGAGGGCCAGCAAAGGCCAATGTACTCTGGCAGAAATTCACTCTCCTACATACCACCTATGGGACTTCTCACACCTGTAAGTAAGTGTTCCCCCAAACAGCTTTGCTATTCTCTCCCTGAAGAGCAGCAGGACAACCTGTCAGGTATAGGAGTTGGGTCCATCCTAGGAAAGTTCTTCCTTTTTCATCAGAAAATTCAGTCACTGAGGGGGAAAATAATCTCAATATTCAATATTCACCTATGTGTTGGAGCCTTCAGACCCTATCCTAAAAATTCTCTAATAGCTTATGAAAGGTAGAACAGGCTTTAAGCATATTGCACTCTTCTCAATGTGAGGCAGCACCCTGGGAGGGGCTCAAACTTCCTTTCACAGCACAAGGAACTCGAGTACACAGCTTCAGCTGCCTTCGCAGTGGTGGAGAGGAATACACATACAGCCTTGTCAGTCCTGGAAGCCAGTTTTACCACATCCTTTTCCATTTACAGCTGGCTAACAACAATCACTTCACGTGGAAAATAGATGTGGTTATTCTAAAGCTTCATTCTTCAGCAAATTTACTATTCACAGAAAAGCACTGTGCAGCTTTAAGCTGAATACACTTGAAATGCTCAGATATAATCATAGAGGGACAAGGATTTTCTCTGAATATTCATACACCATCATTGCCACGACACATTTACATTTATTCTACATGAATCTCCCAAAATGCCTTAGAAGTAATAAGAAGTAAATGACACTGCTATGATAATGGTCAGCAAAGGGACTTTATGTAGAATGGATGGCATTTGTCATGTAACAGCAAACTGCAAAGATTTGTTCATTAACATCACTTCCTGAAAAAAAAAAAAGTTATGGGTATAGCCATATCAGTAGACTTTGTGCCCAGATCCACAGATGGACATGACGCAGGTGGCCAGGAGATCGTGCAGAAGCATAAAAAATGTAGATTATGGCTCGTCTGATGACCTGAAACAGCCAAAAAGCTGCTCCCATCTTGTGCTCCTCATGAAGGGAATTATTAGAAACAAATTGTATTTTTTGTTTCTCTTTGTGCAAACAGGTGGCTTGTCCAGCTTTCTGACTGTTCACAGGATGGTTAGAGATTGAAAAATCTGGGGACAAACTGTACACATCAACAAGTGTCAATATACTTTACTTGAAGCTCAAGTGTACTTTCCTTTAACAACCAATGTAGACAGGAAGCCCTCCAGGCAATCTCACCCCAGCAGTGGCTTTTGGGATACAATGCCACATCCTTCTCATCAGAGAAAGAGAACAGAGAGACCAGAAGGGCTTTCCCTTTGTAGCTGGTAAGTTCAGCAGCGTATGCATGAGTGTGCTGATAATGGCTTCTTCCCACTTGTACTGGCAAGAATGCTGCCATCCTGGTACAACCCTTGCATTCAGATGAACACACAAACATCTCCCTTTGTGCTAGTCCTTGCCTAGATAAGAAATAAGGAGCCATGTGTTCCTAGTTAGTGCTTTACAGACTTGCAGAAGGAATGAGGTTGCTAGAGACATCTCTGCCCATCTGCTCCAACCTCTGCTCATGCTGCAACTTCCAGAGCAGTGTGCCCAGGTCCATGTCCAGTTAGTGCCCATTGCCTCCGGTACCTGGCATTGGGAACTGTTGAGAAGAGTTCTGTCTCCATCTTCATTGCGTTCTCCCTTCAGGTGTTTGTATACATTAAGATCCCCATAAGCCTCCTCCTCTGAACAGGCCCAGCTCTTTCAGCCTCTTCTCACATGAGAGGTGCTCCAGACTCTTCATCCTCTTGGTTGTTCTCCACTGGACATTTTCTGGTGCACCTGTGTCTGCTTGCCTTACATGTTTTGAACATTTAGTATTTTCAATAGCTGCAGTGTAGCTGCTCTGCAGTCATGGGACTTCAAAATAAACCTACCAAAAGATCCAATCTCTTGTGCAAGAGCACATCTCCGACAACACCTCGGCTCTCAGCGAGAAGCATGAAATTGCTCTGACCTTTGCAGTCAAGCTCATATAAATGCATGGCAGGCTGCCAGTATTCAGATAAAACTGGAGCTGGAATCTCCCAAGCCCTGAATAGCACCTGAAGAAGACAGGAACTGCTCAGTAATTGGCAGTTTTGTGTCCTGGCAGCTTGACAGCAGCTTGGAGAGGCGATGATGCTGTGAAGGCTGCTGAAAGCAGATCGCAGCCTGCTCAGCTTGGGTGCTTCACTGCCGCTGCATTCATTAGTGGCCAGCAAGCGCATGAAATCCTCAGCAACACATTTTTGCTGTCAGGTTCATATGACAGATCAACTTAAAAAGCATGACTTTCAACAGGCACAAGTAGGCACAGCTGCACAGATACCAGAGAAACAAATTCCTTTTTACCAGCTGTAGGATTCCCTCAGATGCTGTGGACTACTTTTTCAGACAGAATGATGCATCCAAGAGAAAATTTCCAGAGCCAGTTCACTGTTGACAGCACAACCAAAGACTTAAGAGCATGAAGTGGTTTGGATTTTTTTGTTTGTTTATTTTTAACCTGTTTCTTAATGTTCCTGCTGATGCTCTCTAGCAGATACTTGGAACAGGAGTGCTCTCTCATACTAAAGGATGATTTCCTGCAACCACAAGGAACGTGCTGCAGATACAGTAAGCTAATCCACTGACAGCTAATAACAGCAGCTTTTTCTTGCATCTCAGTTTCCTTTTGATCTCCCCTGCGAGCCACTATCTCATGCCTATGAAGATACATCAGTCACTAACTGCACTGCCATCTGCAAAGTCACAAGTTCAGCATTCTGGATTAATTGAAAGCTGACTTCTCAAAAAGAAAAGAAAAAAAAAAGCTTGAGAGTATTATTTTGGAATTAAGACAAATAGATGTCAGGGGAATCGA